CCTGCCAGATGACTGTGAAACAGAAACCTGTAACTGTTTTGCATGATGGTAGGATTGCTGGTTTCTTTTTCTGTCTCATAAACACGCTAGATAACAGGGATATCTTGCTACTCCTACTTACACTTTGGTCACACTTCACAGACACGCACATGCATATATATATACATACATCTAGGTTTTTCTCCTTTTTCTAAATAGCTCTTGTTCTTTTTTATTTCTTCTATTGTCCATGGGGAAGTGGAAAAGAATCTTTCCTCTGTAAGCCATGCGTGTCGTATGAGGCGACTAAAATGCCGGGAGCAATGGGCTAGTAACCCCTTCTCCTGTAGACATTTACTAAAAAAGAGAAGAAGAAAAACTTTATAAAACTGGGATGCTTAAATGTGCGTGGATGTAGTGCGGATGACAAGAAACAGATGATTGCTGATGTTATGAATGAAAAGAAGTTGGATGTCCTGGCCCTAAGTGAAACAAAGCTGAAGGGGGTAGGGGAGTTTCAGTGGGGGAAATAAATGGGATTAAATCTGGAGTATCTGAGAGAGTTAGAGCAAAGGAAGGGGTAGCAGTAATGTTAAATGATCAGTTATGGAAGGAGAAAAGAGAATATGAATGTGTAAATTCAAGAATTATGTGGATTAAAGTAAAGGTTGGATGCGAGAAGTGGGTCATAATAAGGTGTATGCACCTGGAGAAGAGAGGAATGCAGAGGAGTGAGAGAGATTTTGGGAGATGTTAAGTGAATGTATAGGAGCCTTTGAACCAAGTGAGAGAGTAATTGTGGTAGGGGACCTGAATGCTAAAGTAGGAGAAACTTTTAGAGAGGGTGTGGTAGGTAAGTTTGGGGTGCCAGGTGTAAATGATAATGGGAGCCCTTTGATTGAACTTTGTATAGAAAGGGGTTTAGTTATAGGTAATACATATTTAAGAAAAAGAGGATAAATAAGTATACAAGATATGATGTAGGGCGAAATGACAGTAGTTTGTTGGATTATGTATTGGTAGATAAAAGACTGTTGAGTAGACTTCAGGATATACATGTTTATAGAGGGGCCACAGATATATCAGATCACTTTCTAGTTGTAGCTACACTGAGAGTAAAAGGTAGATGGGATACAAGGAGAATAGAAGCATCAGGGAGAGAGAGGTGAAGGTTTATAAACTAAAAGAGGAGGCAGTTAGGGTAAGATATAAACAGCTATTGGAGGATAGATGGGCTAATGAGAGCATAGGCAATGGGGTCGAAGAGGTATGGGGTAGGTTTAAAAATGTAGTGTTAGAGTGTTCAGCAGAAGTTTGTGGTTACAGGAAAGTGGGTTCGGGAGGGAAGAGGAGCGATTGGTGGAATGATGATGTAAAGAGAGTAGTAAGGAGAAAAAGTTAGCATATGAGAAGTTTTTAACAAAGTAGAAGTGATGCAAGGAGGGAAGAGTATATGGAGAAAAAGAGAGAGGTTAAGAGAGTGGTGAAGCAATGTAAAAAGAGAGCAAATGAGAGAGTGGGTGAGATGTTATCAACAAATTTTGTTGAAAATAAGAAAAAAGTTTTGGAGTGAGATTAACAAGTTAAGGAAGCCTAGAGAACAAATGGATTTGTCAGTTAAAAATAAGAGAGGAGAGTTATTAAATGGAGAGTTAGAGGTATTGGGAAGATGGAGGGAATATTTTGAGGAATTGTTAAATGTTGATGAAGATAGGGAAGCTGTGATTTCGTGTATAGGGCAAGGAGGAATAACATCTTGTAGGAGTGAGGAAGAGCCAGTTGTGAGTGTGGGGGAAGTTCGTGAGGCAGTAGGTAAAATGAAAGCGGGTAAGGCAGCCGGGATTGATGGGATAAAGATAGAAATGTTAAAAGCAGGTGGGGATATAGTTTTGGAGTGGTTGGTGCAATTATTTAATAAATGTATGGAAGAGGGTAAGGTACCTAGGGATTGGCAGAGAGCACGCATAGTTCCTTTGTATAAAGGCAAAGGGGATAAAAGAGAGTGCAAAAATTATAGGGGGATAAGTCTGTTGCAGTTTAAAAACTGTAGTGTAAAGCACCCTTCTGGCAAGACAGTGATGGAGTGAATGATGGTGAAAGTTTTTCTTTTTCGGGCCACCCTGCCTTGGTGGGAATCGGCCAGTGTGATAATAAAAAAAAAAATAAGTCTGCTGAGTATACCTGGTAAAGTGTATGGTAGAGTTATTATTGAAAGAATTAAGAGTAAGATGGAGAATAGGATAGCAGATGAACAAGGAGGCTTTAGGAAAGGTAGGGGTGTGTGGACCAGGTGTTTACAGTGAAACATATAAGTGAACAGTATTTAGATAAGGCTAAAGAGGTCTTTGTGGCATTTATGGATTTGGAAAGGGCGTATGACAGGGTGGATAGGGGGGCAATGTGGCAGATGTTGCAAGTGTATGGTGTAGGAGGTAGGTTACTGAAAGCAGTGAAGAGTTTTTACGAGGTAGTGAGGCTCAAGTTAGAGTATGTAGGAAAGAGGGAAATTATTTCCCAGTAAAAGTAGGCCTTAGACAAGGATGTGTGATGTCACCGTGGTTGTTTAATATATTTATAGATGGGGTTGTAAGAGAAGTAAATGCGAGGGTCTTGGCAAAAGGCGTGGAGTTAAAAGATAAAGAATCACACACAAAGTGGGAGTTGTCACAGCTGCTCTTTGCTGATGACAATGTGCTCTTGGGAGATTCTGAAGAGAAGTTGCAGAGATTGGTGGATGAATTTGGTAGGGTGTGCAAAAGAAGAAAATTAAAGGTGAATACAGGAAAGAGTAAGGTTATGAGGACAACAAAAAGATTAGGTGATGAAAAGATTGAATATCAGATTGGAGGGAGAGAGTATGGAGGAGGTGAATGTATTCAGATATTTGGAAGTGGACGTGTCAGCGGATGGGTCTATGAAAGATGAGGTGAATCATAGAATTGATGAGGGGAAAAGAGTGAGTGGTGCACTTAGGAGTCTCTGGAGACAAAGAACTTTGTCCTTGGAGGCAAGAGGGGAATGTATGAGAGTATAGTTTACCAACGCTCTTATATGGGTGTGAAGCATGGGTGATGAATGTTTGCAGCGAGGAGAAGGCTGGAGGCAGTGGAGATGTCATGTCTGAGGGCAATGTGTGGTGTGAATATAATGCAGAGAATTCGTAGTTTGGAAGTTAGGAGGAGGTGCGGGATTACCAAAACTGTTGTCCAGAGGGCTGAGGAAGGGTTGTTGAGGTGGATCGGACATGTAGAGAGAATGGAGCGAAACAGAATGACTTCAAGAGTGTATCAGTCTGTAGTGAAGGAAGGCAGGGTAGGGTCGGCCTACGAAAAGGTTGGAGAGAGGGGGTAAAGGAGATTTTGTGTGCGAGGGGCTTGGACTTCCAGCAGGCATTGCGTGAGCGTGTTTGATAGGAGTGAATGGAGACAAATGGTTTTTAATACTTGACGTGGTGTTGGAGTGTGAGCAAAGTAACATTTATGAAGGGGTTCAGGGAAACCGGCAGGCCGGACTTGAGTCCTGGAGATGGGAAGTACAGTGCCTGCACTCTGAAGGAGGGGTGTTAATGTTGCAGTTTAAAAACTGTAGTGTAAAGCACCCTTCTGGCAAGACAGTGATGGAGTGAATGATGGTGAAAGTTTTTCTTTTTCGGGCCACCCTGCCTTGGTGGGAATCGGCCAGTGTGATAATAATAAAAAAAAAAAACACAATGGGAGTTGTCACAACTGCTTTTTGCAGATAACACTGTGCTTTTGGGAGATTCTGAAGAGAAGTTACAAAGGCTGGTAGATGAATTGGGGAGGGTGTTTAAAGGAAGAAAATTAGAAGTGAACATAGATAAGAGCAAGGCAATGAGGATAACAAATGAGTTATATAATGAAACATTGGATATCAGATTGGATGGAGGGAATATGGATGAAGTGAATGTGTTCAGATATTTGGGCATGACCTTGTTGACAGATGGGTGTATGAAAGACAAGGTGAACCATAGAACTGATGAAGGTAAAAAGGTCTGTGGTGCATTGAGGCATTTGTGGAGACAAAGAACATTATCCAGGGAGGCAAAGAGAGGAACGTATGAGAGAATAGTAGTACCAACGCTCTTATATGGGTGTGAAGCATGAGTTGTGAATGTTTCAGCAAGGAGAAGGCTGGAGGCAGTGGAAATGTCATGTCTGAGGGAAATGTGGTGTAAATATTATGCAAAGACTTTGTAGCTTGGAGATTAGGAGGAGGTGCAGAGTTACTAAAGGTATCCAGAGGGCTGAAGAGCAGTTGTTGAGATAGTTTAGACATTTAGAGAGAGCAAAATAGGATGACTTGGAGGGTATAAATCTGTAGTGGAGGGAAGGCAAAGAAGGGATCGCCCTAGGAAAGGTTAGCAGGAGGGGGTAAAGGAGGTTTTGTATGTTAGGGGCTTGAACATCTAGCAGGCATGCAAGAGTGTATGAGACAAGAGTGCAGGCGAGTAGTTTTTATGACTTAACATTCTGTTGAGTGTCAGCAAAGTAACATTTATGAAGGGATTCAGGGAGATTGGTTAGCCGGGCTTGAGTCCTGGAGGTGGGAAGTACAGTGCCTGCACTCTGAAAGAGGGGTGGGGATATTTGCAGTTTTGAACTGTATTATCAACACCCTGCTAGCAAGACAGTGATAGAGTGAATGATAGTGAAAGTGTTTCTTCTTTTATGGGGTCACCCTACCTTAGTGGGAGACAGGTAGTTTGTTAAAAAAAAAAAAAAAAAGGTAATGATACCAGTAAGCCAACATTTCTGAAGAGATTCAGGAAAAACCAGTAAGCTGAATTTGAGTCCTGGAGGTGGGAAGTACAGTGCCTGCACCCTGAAGAAGAGGTGGGGGATGTTACAGTCCTGGAGGTGGGAAGTACAGTGCCTGCACCCTGAAGAAGAGGTGGGGGATGTTACAGTCCTGGAGGTGGGAAGTACAGTGCCTGCACCCTGAAGAAGGGGTGGGGATGTTACAGTCCTGGAGGTGGGAAGTACAGTGCCTGCACCCTGAAGAAGGGGTGGGGGATGTTACATCTTACAGTCAGAGAGTAATTTGTCAGTGATATTAGACGGCTGACTTGTTGAAAAAAAAAAAAAAAAAATAGACTACTACAGTGGAACCTCGGTACTCAAACTTAACTCATTCCAGGAGGCTGTTCAAGTGCCAATCTTTTCAAGTACACTTACCATCCGACTTACGACCAAGTTCGGTTCCGAGAAACCGGTTGTACGCCGAAATGGTCATAAGTCGAACTTTACTACTGAATATCAACAAAATATTTTTGTAATGACTTTATTTTATTGTTTTATTTTGGTATTTCATGTTTTACTTTACTTTTTTATGTTGTTAGTACTGTATTTTATACTGTAAGGTTTAGGATAAACACTGTGTACAATACAAATAGTTGTTCATTTCCCAGAAATTTGGCATAAAAAATATGGTCGTAAGTCGAGTGGTCGTAAGTCGAGCAGGCCGTAAGTCAGATGGTAGGTGTACCAAACGAATTTTTCCTAACCAATTTTCTTTTTTGTTGGCTGTTATCACTAATCTTCTTAAGCCCCATAGTGACTTATTTATACAGATAATATACAAAAGCACCAAAAAATGCAAAGAAACACGAAATAGTTTACAGCGACGTTCTGGCAGGTCATTTTTGGTCGAGTGCCGAGCAAACAGTCAACTACTGAGCTAATTTTTTTACCGAACAAAGCATCGGAATACCGAATTGTTCAAGTAGGGAGCTGTTCGAGTACCGAGGTTCCACTGTATTGGAAAAAAGCTAACCGAATAAATACTGGTGAATATATTTTATTTCTCGAGTTACCCTGCCTTGGCAGGAGATGGCTGCTGAGTTAACTAAAAATAAATAAATAATAATAATAAAATAATAAAAACAACAACTCCGAGTTGTAGCAACTATCTAACTTTAAGTAAATATTTTATAATTAAAGAGTTATGATATATCAAAACCTCATGCACAGTAAGTCAACAAGAAGAGTTGTTGAGATGGTGTGATCATTTAGAAAGATGGTCCAGCAAGGTAAGTGGACCAAGAGTGTGTATAAAGCTGGAATAGATGAATGGCACACTCCAAGGGTTGGCAGGAGAGTATAAAAGTTTCAAGTGGTAGGAACTTGAACACCCAGTAAGCATTCACAAGCACGTTAGATTACAGTGAACAGATACAAGTGATTTTTGACATCTGATGTGCTCATGGAGTGTAAGCAGGGCAACATCTATTAAGGCTTTCAGATAAACTGGTTAGCCTGTATCCCAGTTCTGTAGGTGTGAAGTACAGTGCTTGCACTTACACATCCATGAGTTAGTTGCTACAGTGGGGTCCATACATCCATGGATCAGTCACTACAGTGGGGTCCATACATCCATGGATCAGTCACTACAGTGGGGTCCATACATCCATGGATCAGTCACTACAGTGGGGTCCATACATCCATGGATCAGTCACTACAGTGGGGTCCATACATCCATGGATCAGTCACTACAGTGGGGTCCATACATCCATGGATCAGTCACTACAGTGGGGTCCATACATCCATGGATCAGTCACTACAGTGGGGTCCATACATCCATGGATCAGTCACTACAGTGGGGTCCATACATCCATGGATCAGTCACTACAGTGAGGTTCATACATCCATGGATCAGTCACTACAGTGGGGTCCACACATCTATGGCTCAGTCACTACAGTGGGGTCCATGCATCAGTCACTACAGTGGGGTCCATACATCCATGGATCAGTCACTACAGTGGGGTCCATACATCCATGGATCAGTCACTACAGTGGGACTACACAGTCTAGGGGATGTGCCAGAAGGAATATGCTGACATTTTCGACAAATCATATTCAAAATGGAACATGAAAACAAGAGTCAACCTGGCAAGAAGATTTAAACAAACTGAGAACAAAATAACATGAATTAAAGGGTAACATAATGGAAATAACTGGAAGGAAAAATATGATCCAATAAAGATTATATATTGAGATAAAATTCTACAAACATTAGAAAATATGATCCTGGTGTGAAAATAGACAATTGGTAATGACTTTAAATGCTATCTATACTTTACTGAGAAACATCTGTTACACACTACTGATGTACTTCAAAATAGATTTGAAATACGTACATATATAACAAAATGTTAAAAAATCAACATATTTTGGGCCTAAATTTGAATGTATATGAGAAAATGATGTTTGCACCTTAAAAATCTCGAAGATGTGCCACATAATAGATCCCAGTCTTATGAAATATGAAGAATGAATTAAGACAGAAATCACTTTAGCATGTTAATATGGTAGCAGAGGAGGAAGAGCAAACAAGGTATCATACCACATACAAGTTCATCAAATTATGTTTGAAAATAAGTAAAGAATATTTCTTGATATCATAAGAAAATCCAAGAAACTACAATTTAAAATTATGAAAAGTGCAGCAAGGAAAGAATGCTTATGAATTATGGTTTTACACATAGTGTTAGATAGCTGGAGTGGTATAGCTAAGAGTAGCAATGTAAGCTACAACTACTGGAAACATTTACATGAGGGGACACCATGAGCATAGCTGCTCCTCTAACCACAAACAACAATCCTAAAGAGTAAGTCATCACAGACTACACTACACTACACTACTCTCCCTCCTACATCATGGGAAAAGTAACAACAAAAATTATATGCTCATGAACACTGCATCATTATTTTTAATTGAATGATACAATTAGAACTTGAGCACTGGCAACTTACATAAGCTTCTCAAATGGAAATTATGTCAATGCCTTCATCGAGGTAGTGAGCATCCCATCCTTGTGTACCTCCACCTACGAACAAAGGATCTTCTGGTGCATGGAGTGATGGTCCTCTTCTCTTACTTTAGGCAAAGACAGAGAGTTGCAGTAACTTGGTAACGTGTGCAGTTCTGTCTCGGGTGTCGATCTGTTGCCATAGTCTGACATTTGTCTCATTTTTAGTGACTCATGTTTTGAAGGCTTTTTGTTAGCCAACAAAGACATTCGTTTATTTTTCTCTTTTTTATTACAACTTCGGAATACGTAATCTGTGCCCATCATTACTGGAGGTGAATCAAGAGGGTTCATGTTGTACGTGGACATTCTTCTGATTTTACGAAGAGCAGCTGTGCCTCCCAGTTCCTGCTTTCCAACGACATCATCAGCAGCAATGTCATTAACTGACACATCTCCAGACAATTCCTTAAAAGCTTCAATGGGAAGGATGGTCATCACTCTCAATTTTCCAGGCAAAATTTCATCCCTTTGCTTTTTTATATTAATTTTTTTTATCTTATTATTTTGTCCATTCCCACCCAGCTTTTTCATTCCCTTGCAGAAAGCCGTTTTGCTTATTTTTTTACGTTTCTCCATTAGCTGGCATTCTTGTGTCACTGTGTGCTGCCAGCGGTGGTTAATAAGTTGCTCCAAGTCCTCAACTGTTACATCACAAACATCGCATGTAAAATATTTGTGTTCACAGTCTTGCATGTGTTTAATCAATGCTACTTGAGAAGTAAATTTTGACATACATCTCGAGCACTTGTATGATGGGATCATCAGACTCTCTTGCTGTGGCAGTGTGTGCCCATGAGTGACACTTACATGTAGACACAGAGAGTATATTGAAGAATAGCATGTCTGGCATTTAGCACACTGATATGGGACATCTTTTGTGTGTACCATTCTGATGTGACAGAGCAATTTTTGCCTGTTGGAGTAACTCTTGGAGCAATAATTACATCTGGCTGCTCCACGTTTCCTTTTGTCCCCTTTGCTAAACATTTCTCTTTCATATTGCTTTCTGTGAGTTTTGCGATGCTCACTCAACCCAGAAGAGTTTCTAAACCTTCGCTTACATTCAATACACTCGTAGGGTTTCTCTCCTGTGTGCTGCCGCCGATGATCTTGCAGTGATTTACCAATTGCAAACGCTTTCTCACATATGTCACACTTAAATGGCTTTTCACCCGTGTGAATACGCTCATGTTTTGTCAAGTCTGACTTTTGAGCAAAAGCCCGCTCACAATAACTGCACTTGAATGGTTTTTCTCCAGTATGGGTACGCATATGAATTTGAAAGTGAGCATTATGTTGACACAAGAGACCACATATACTGCATGTAAGTTGACGATTTCCCCTCTTTCTCAAGATTTCCAGACTATCGGTTTGTTGCCGACATAAGCCTTCACTAGGCCAGCTAGTATTAACGTTTGTGATTTTCTTCTTAACTTTCCAATTCTTTTGTCTGACATCACTGCTGTTGATGATGTTGCTGCTGCTGTTGTTGTTCTTGTTGCTGCTGCTGCTGTTCTTGTTGTTGTTGTTGCTGCTGCTGCTGCTCCTGATGTTGTTGTTGCTGCTGCTGCTGCTAATACTTTTGCTGCTGTTGCTGTTGCTGCTGCTGCTGCTGCTGCTACAGTTAACACCATCACTGTGTTTCTTAGCTTCCTTCACTTTACTTACAAAAACTGGGATGTCCTCGTGTGGCCTTGAGGGATTCTGCTCTTCATATAAGAAGGACTTCTTCATAGCCAGCCATTCCTGATGAATTTCTTCCAGTAAAAGGCTAGCAGATTTGTTCAACTCCCAGTTGTTAGCAGCTATGAAGGAGTCCAGGTCCATTAGATCCTCTTTCTTACACACAGCAACAATCCTGAAAGGCAGAACATTGGTGAAATTCAGACTTATACAGGGCAAGGGAGATAAGGTAGTTTCCTGTCTGAGCTAGTACTGACCTTATTACAAGTAAGGTGATATTCTTAACTTCTTCTATATCTTGGACATCAGTGACAGCAACTGTAAGGGAAGATGATATCAGAGGAGGATGATCATGTGTTGATAAGAGAAGACAAAACTCAGAATAGCAACACCTGGAGGAGCATAGCAAGACCTGGAGGAGGACAACAAGACCTGGAGGAGCATAGCAAGACCTGGAGAAGGACAACAAGACCTGCAGGAGAATAGCAAGACCTGCAGGAGGATAGCAAGAATTGCAGGAGGACAACAAGACCTGCAGGAGGATAGCAAGACCTGGAGGAGGACAAGACATGCTGGAGGATAGCAAGACCTGGAGGAGGACAAGACCTGCTGGAGGATGGCAGGACCTGCAGGAGGACAGCAAGACCTGCAGGAGGATAGCAAGACCTGGAGGACAACAAGACCTGCAAGAGGATAGCAAGACCTGTAGGAGGCCAGCAAGACCTGCAGGAGGATAGCAAGACCTACAGGAGGATAGCAAGACCTGGAGGAGAAGAACAAGACCTGCAGGAGGATAGCAAGACCTGCAGGGGAACAACAAGACCTGGAGGAGAACAGCAAAATCTGGAAGAGGATAGTAAGACCTGCAGGAGGATAGCAAGATCTGGAAGAGGACAAGACCTGCTGGAGGATGGCAAGACCTGCAGGAGGACAGCAAGACCTGCAGAAGGATAGCAAGACCTGGAGGACAACAAGACCTGCAGGAGGATAGCAAGACCTGCATGAGGCCAGCAAGACCTGTGGGAGGATAGCAAGACCTGCAGGAGGCCAGCAAGACCTGTGGGAGGATAGCAAGACTGCAGGAGGATAGCAAGACCTGGAGGAGGAGAACAAGACCTGCAGGAAGATAGCAAGACCTGGAGGAGGAGAACAAGACCTGGAGGAGAACAGCAAGACCTGGAGGAGAACTGTAAGATCTGGAAGAGGATAGCAAGACCTGCAGGAGGACAAGACCTATAGGAGGAGAATAAGAAGACCTGGAGAACAGCAAGACCTGGAAGAGAATAACAATATATGGAGGAGAATAACAAGACCTGGAGGACAGCAAGCTATGGAGGGTGGATACCAAGCCTTGGAGGGTGGATACAATAACCCTCAAAGGGTTAAATGGGTCGTTTCTTGTACTCAATTGATAGAATGGAAGACATACTAGTAAAATAGTTAAGAGTTTGGTTGGCTGGAACAATGGAATTGGCCTAAAATAGGACTCAAAGTGAGCAAAATCATCGATGCATAAATACTGCCAAGACTGCTAACTTTGCAAAAGTGTAATTCTGTAAGTTTTCCATCAAATTTTATACTTTTGGTGTCATTACTTTCGGAAAAAGATTCTCTATCATTTCATAAAAAAAAAATATTTTTTTTTTAAATTCTTGGGCCCTGAGAGCAATTTTCAGATAAGAGGGCTGGACACTGAAAAGGTTAAAACCAAATGAGGAAAAAAAAAAAACATGCCTGTGATGAGCAAGAAATTCAGAAAACATCCAACAAAGACAACAAAACAAAACAACCATGCACCTTGTGTTTGTAGCTCTGGCAACCAGAGTTCTGTGCTAATGCTGAGAGTAGTAGTGGTGAAGGTAGCACTTAGAGCCTCAATATACTTGGTGTGGTCGGAGTACACTTTAGCGTGAGCAGTTGTTGTACGGGTGTCTCTGACCATCTCATCTGGCCAACACTTGTTTTAAGTTTCTTTCTGAGGGCCTCATCTTACAAGCACTTGTCTTGAGGGTATTCCTGTGAGCAATAAATAATTTTTTAAAAGTGTGACAGAGCAGTTCAAATTAAATAATGCCTACAATATTACTAAATATTTGTAACCACATTATACTGCCTTTATGGAGTCAAAAATAGAAATGTATCTTAGTGTACTGGTACTAACACTGTTATGTGGGTGAGAGTGGGTTTTAAACAGTGTAGCAAGAAGGAGGCTGGATGCAGTGGGGATATCATGTTTGAGGGCAATGTGTGAGAATAATAAGTAATCTCTCCTCAGAGGGCAGAGGAGTTGAGGTGGTTTGGGCATCTATTAAGGGAGCAGAATAGTATGACTAAAAGGGTATATAAATCTGGAGTGGAAGAAAGAAGGGATAGGGGTCATCCCAGAAAGAGTTGGAGAGAGGAGGTAATATAAGTTTTAAGTACTAGGGGTTTGAACTTCCAACAGGCTTGTATGAGTGCATTGGAACAGAAAGAGTGGAAACAAGTGGTTTTAATGACCTAATGTGAATTCGGGGGAAACAGTTAGCTGAACTAGAGTCCTGGAAGTGGTAAGTATAGTGCCTGCACTCTGAAGGAGAGGCAAAGATGTTGCAGTTTTAGAGGGCCATCTAATATCCCACAGCACATATGCTGTATATTCCCAGCAGGCATATGCCAGATATCCCCAACACATAAAAAAACTTCATCTGGAATATTAATACTGGAGGGCTAATAACCCAGGATAACCCAAGAAATCCAAGCAGTGTATCTTAATTTCACTGTGGCTCAGACTATTCCCAGGTACTGTACCTATTTATTGCTAGGTGGAGAGGGGTGGCAGGAGCATGGAGACTTTCCCATACATCTCATCTAATCATAAATAAAATTTTAACTTGTTGTAAAGGAGTGAGCTACAAGGTCTTAGTTTTGTTCAGTATAAAGTGGTTATTAAAGTATTACTCCAGTAAAGTCTTGTATCCTATTATTAATCATGTTAAGAGAAACCAGGTCTGCCAAATGTGATAACACAATACCATAATTCCCAGCTTACAGAAGACGGAGTGACCTTGCAAGTAAGTAAATTGATTTAGGTGTCCCGTGGCCTGTAAGTTTATTCAGGTACAGCTACACATAAATACAGTTACATAAATTATCATACATAGCAGCATATGTGTAGGTTACCTAGGATAACCCAAGAAAAGGGTCATACCTTATACCTTTGACATACCTTTGAAGAGTTTCGAGAGTTTATCTACTCTCTGAGCCCGGCCATGGGCCAGGCGCATCTGGTGCTTGCCTGGTCAACCAGGCTGTTGCTGCTGGAGGCCTGCTGCCCCACATATCCATCATAGCCTGGTTAAATTGGTCAAAGTGATTTATTTCCATTGGGGTCCTTGGCCTGGTAGGCAACACTCTCACTTCAAAACACTGAGTATCTGTAGCTCAGTCCCCAGCAAGGGTAGAAACACTGGACGTTCCTTACACCTGTCCCATTCACCTAGCAGTAAGTAGCTACCTGGGTGTTAGTCAACTGGTGTGGATCGCATCTTGGGGGACAAGACTGAAAAACTCCAATGGAAATAAGACAGACAGTCCTCGATGACACACTGACTTTCTTGGGTTATCCTGGGTGATTAACCCTTTGGGGTTAAAAATGTTAAAAAAAAAAAAATCTTATCTTAAGTGCAATTACACAATTTTAGAGAATTGCAACAGTTTTACATAATAAAATGTGCAAGCTCCCAGGATTATAAACAAATAGTCAGAGTGACTTATTTCCATTGTGGTCCTTGTCATACCAATTAGAGTAGTGGTATATTACAGTTGAAGCCTAACTATTACATTACAAGCCTATTACATTAGAAGCCTAACTATTACATTAGAAGCCTAATTATTACATTAGAAGCCTAACTATTACAGTAGAAGCCTATTATATTAGAAGCCTATTACAGCAGAAGCCTATTACAATAGAAGCCTCAGTAAAGTCAGTAAGACACTATTACAGTAAAGTCAATAAGTCAAACTATTACAGTAAAGTAAGTAAGACACTATTACAGTAGAAGTCAATAAGTCAAACTATTACAGTAAAGTCAATAAGTCAAACTATTACAGTAGAAGTCAATAAGTCAAACTATTACAATATAAGCCTATTGCTGTAGAAGCTTAATTGTTACAGTGGCACAACAGTAATACAACAGTACCACCAGGTACCACACACAACATAAACACACCAACAGTACCACCAGGTACCACACACAACATAAACATACCAACAATAATACAACAGTACCACCAGGTACCCCACACAACATAACCATACCAACAATAACAACCAGTACCACCAGTAACGCACACAACATAAACATACCAACAATAATACAACAGTACCACCAGGTATCCCACACAACATAAACATACCAACAATAATACAACAGTACCACCAGGTACCCACACAACATAAACAAACAAACAATAATACAACAGTACCACCAGGTACCCCACACAACATAAACATACCAATAATAATACAACAGTACCACCAGGTACCCCACACAACATAAACATACCAACCAATAATACAACAGTACCACCAGGTACCACACACAACATACACACACCAACAATAATACAACAGTAACCACCAGGTACCACACACACATACACACACCAACAATAATACAAAAATACCACACAGTACCACACACAACATAAACACACCAACAATAATACAACAGTACACAGGTACCACAACACAACATAAACACACCAACAATAATACAACAGTACCACCAGGTACCACACACAACATAAACACACCAACAATAATACAACAGTACCACCAGGTACCACACACAACATAAACACACCAACAATAATACAACAGTACCACCAGGTACCACAAACAACATACACACACCAACATAATACAAAAATACCACCAGGTACCACACACAACATAAACACACCAACAATATACAACAGTACCACCAGGTACCACACACAACATAAACACACCAACAATAATACAACAGTACCACCAGGTACCACACACAACAAACACACCAACAGTACCACCAGGTACCACACACAACATAAAAACCAACAGTACCACCAGGTACGACACACAACATAAACACACCAACATACCACTGGGTACCACACACAACACACCAACAAATACCACCAGTACCATACACAACATAAACAAACCAACATAATAATACACAACATAAACCAACAATAATAATGCACAACATAAACAAACAACAATAATACACACCAGTGTACCACACATAAACACACCAACAACAATACAACAGTACCACCAGGTACCACACACAACAAACAAACCAAAATAATACAACAGTATCAGCAGGTACCACACACAACATAAACACACCAACAATAATACAACAGTACCACCAGGTACCACACACAATATAAACACACCAAAAATACCACCAGGTACCACACACAAACATAAACACACCAAAAATACCACCAGTACCACACACAACATAAACACACCAAAATACCACCAGGTACCACACACAACATAAACACACAAAAATACCACCAGGTACCACACACAACATAAACACACCAAAAGTACCACCATGTACCATACAGAACATAAACATACCAACAGTACCACCAGGTACCACACAACATAAACACACCAACAGTACCACCAGGTACCACACACAACATAAACACACAACAGTACCACCAGGTACCACACAACATAAACACACCAACAATAATACAACAGTACCACCAGGTACCACACAAAACATAAACATACCAACAGTACCACCAGGTACCACACACAACATAAACACACCAACAGTACCACCAGGTACCACATACAACATAAACACACCAACAGTACCACCAGGTACGACACACAACATAAACACACCAACAGTACCACCAGGTACGACACACAACATAAACACACCAACAGTACCACCAGGTACGACACACAACATAAACACACCAACAGTACCACCAGGTACCACACACAACATAAACACACTAACAGTACCACCAAGTACCACACACAACATAAACACACCAACAGTACCACCAGGTACCACACACAACATAAACACACTACCATACCACCAGGTACCACACACAACAAATACACAACAGTACCACCGGGTACCACACACAACATAAACACACTAACAGTACCACCAGGTACCACACAACATAAACACACCAACAGTACCACCAGGTACCACACACAACATAAACACACCAACAGTACCACCAGGTACCACATACAACATAAACACACCAACAGTACCACCAGGTACCACACACAACATAAACACACCAACAGTACCACCAGGTACCACACACAACATAAAACACACCAACAGTACCACCAGGTACCACACACAACATAAACACACCAACAGTACCACCAGGTACCACACACAACATAAACACACCAACAATAACACACCACCAGCACAAATATTTTTTACTGATTAACCCCGCATCCTCTCCAACGATATTATTATCATTATTATTATTATTATTATTATTATTATTATTATTATTATTATTATTATTATTATTATTATTATTATTATTATTATTATTATTATTTAACCGATAATAATCATAATAATAATTCAGTAGCTACAATGGTAACATCGTAACTCCAGGATCCTCATGAAAATAAACCGCTGAGTTTTTTTGGTTATTATAGATAACTGACTCAGATATTATTATAAGACATATTGTAATCATCCAGAGATTAGGTAATTGTACCTGAATGAGTTTCAACTGATCGTATCTTAATTCTGAAAACCATCCTCGTCCACAATGTTGCTCAGGTTCCTCAACTTGTTCTTGCAAGTGACAAAACTTTTGTCATCTGCTCTGCAGATACACTTTATCTCAGCAACATTGTTGATATGGAGGTCATTGAGATGTCGGCTTGGATGACACCTGATACTCTCTCTTACTACTGACATCTGCATGATGTTTGGGAACACAGCTGTACATGGATCTCATAAAGATACTGGAGCAGGCATCAACAACTGGAGCAGGCATCAACTGGAGCAGACATCAACAACTGGAGCAGGCATCAACTGGAGCAGGCATCAACTGGAGCAGGCATCAACAACTGGAGCAGGCATCAACTGGAGCAGGCATCAACAACTGGAGCAGGCATCAACAACTGGAGCAGGCATCAACTGGAGCAGGCATCAACAACTGGAGCAGGCATCAACAACTGGAGCAGGCATCAACTGGAGCAGGCATCAACAACTGGGGCAGGCATCAACAACTGGGGCAACCGTCAACAACTGGAGCAGGCATCAACTGGAGCAGGCATCAACTGGAGCATGCATCAACTGGAGCAGGCATCGACAACTGGAGCAGACATCAACAACTGGGGCAGGCATCAACAACTGGGGCAGGCATCATCAACTGGGGCAGGCATCAACTGGAGCAGGCATCAACTGGAGCAGGCATCAACTGGAGCAGGTCTAAGTAGTAGTACCTGGTTAATGGTAACTGGTTACTAGGTACTGGTACTACTACTGAGACAGGCATCAACAACTGGGGCAGGCATCAACTGGAGCAGGCATCAACAACTGGGGCAGGCATCAACAATTGGGGCAGGCATCAACTGGAGCAGGCATCAACTGGAGCAGGCATCAACTGGAGCAGGCATCAACAACTGGGGCAGGCATCAACTGGAGCAGGCATCAACAACTGGGGCAGGCATCAACAACTGGGGCAGGCATCAACTGGAGCAGGCATCAACTGGAGCAGGCATCAGCAACTGGAGTAGGCATCAACTGGAGCAGACCTCAACAACTGGAGCAGGCCTCAACAACTGGAGCAGGTCTCAACAACTGGAGTAGGCACCAACCAGAGCAGGCATCAACAACTGAAGCAGGCATCAACCGGAGCAGGCATCAACTGTAGCAGGCATCAATGTGGGCAGGCATCAACTGGAGCAGGCATCAACAACTGGAGCAGGCATCAACAACTGGAGTAGGTATCAACAACTGGAGCAGGCACATCCTGTCTCTGTCCACCTTGTACTCACCTAGTTGTACTCACCTAGTTGAGGTTGCTGGGGCCGAGTCCTAGCTCCTGGCCCCGCCTCTTTACTGGTCGCTAATAGGTCACTCTCCCTGAACCGTGAGCTTTATCATACCTCTGCTTAAAGCTATGTATGGATCCTGCCTCCACTACATTGCTTCCCAAACTATTCCACTTCCTGACTACTCTGTGACTGAAGAAATACTTCCTAACGTGTGTGTGTGTGCGTGTGTGTACTCACCTAATTGTGGTTGCAGGGGTCAAGTCATAGCTCCTGGCCCCCGCCTCTTTACTGATTGCTACTAGGTCCTCTCTCTCCCTGCTCCATAAGCTTTATCACACCTCATCTTAAAACTATGTATGGTTCCCGGCTCCACTACGTCACTTTCTAGGTGTGTGTGTGTATACTCACCTAATTGTGGTTGCAGGCGTCGATGTTCAGCTCCTGGCCCCGTGTGTATGTGTGTGTGTGCTACTTTGCAAGGTAGACGTACACGAAGACATATATACAGATAAAAGTGGTAGCCGCCTGGAAGCTGTTATCAGTATAGATAAGTATAAGTGTCTCCTTGTTGACACTATATAAGCACCACCACCCCAGCACCACCACCCCAGCACCACCACCCCAGCAACACCACCACAGCACTACCTCCCCAGCGCCACCACCCCAGCACCACCTCCCAGGGACCACCATCACCCTAGCACAGTGGTTCCCAAACTGGGGGTAAATTACCCCCTGGGGGTAATTTAACCATTTTTGGGAGGTAATGGAAGGGTGACAGAAAAAAAGTTATGAATTCTGAAAATCAAGAAAACAATGCGGTACCCGGTATGAGGATTATTGTTAACTTTGTCTTAGTATATAAAGTTGTAAAGTAAACCTATTATAAGTAAGTAATAAAGTTAAACCAAAAAAACAATAAACATCAAAAACTAATATACAGTATTAGAAAAGAAGAAATATATAGCTAAGTGTGTGGAAACCCAAAAGTATTTTGACAAGTATGCTTCAGGACAAAAGTCACTCAGTAGCCCAGATCGACCTGTCCAGTACGTGTCCCTCACTTCCTGAGGCTGCCTCTATTTCACACTGTCAGTTTATTTGTGAGCATCAGCCGAGGTAGACATAAGCTGGTATGTATGTGTACTGCCCTGTGCAG